TGAATATAGGAGTGCATATGTCCCTTCGCATTAGTTTTTACATCCTGGTATAGACACCTAGGAGTGGAACTGCTTAATCATAGAGTAGATATATGCTTAATATTTTGAGAAGTCTCCATACTGTTTTCCAAAGGGGCTAGGCGAATCTACATTTCCACCAACAGTATACCAAGGGTTCCTGTAGAATTTTAAAAAGCCCCTGGCATCTACTGCCACAGAAGAGCAGAGGGAAAGAGAGATGGTTGACTTGAAAATAGTCATATTTTTATTAACTTACAGAACTCTGAAAAGATGATGGCAAAGCAATCAAGTGTGGCCAAATACATTGATTTTTTTTAACATTTATCTGCCAATTTTATTGAGGTAAAATTGACATAAGCAATTTATTTATTGATTTGCTAAACTTAGATACTGCAAAATGATTATCACTATAGCATTAGGTAACATCTCCATTATGTGACATGATTTCCATTTTTTCGGTGGTTAGAATATGTAAGATCTATTATTTTAACAACTTTCAAATATATACTTTAAACTCACCAGAACTTATTAATCTTCTAACTGGAAGCCTGTACCTTTGATAACATCTCCCCATTCCCCCACATCCAGCTCCAGGTACTCACCATCCAATTCTCCATACTGCCATTTAAAAAAAAAAAAAAAACAGAGAAAGCTAATTTTTTTTTTACAATTTTTGATAAATATTAAAATTTAATTTCTTAGGAGTAACTACAAAGTAATAATTATGTCTTTCCTTTTCTTAGCATTTGTGTCCCTAAATAAGGAACCAGGAAAAAGACTAACTATAATAAAGTAAAAATCAAAATCAACAAGCAACTATAAACCAGAGACACACTACGGGGTGGGGGGGTAGGAGGGATTACAGTCAAAATAGGGGGGGTGGGAATTGTATGGGGACTATAACCAAGATGAAAATGCATACACAGTACAAAAATGAAAAATGGTATAAAATATATATATAATAAAATAAAAATAAAGAAATGTAAAATTAAAAAAAAAGTGATTCTTCTATTATCCCAAGGGTGTCAACAGTGAGCAGGAAAGCAATGTTTATATCCCCAAACAATTCAAGCTTAGTTTCAATATTTACAATACCTTAAGGAGAAACTATCTTGGAGATTATTTAAGTTGGTGAAAGTGTACTCATGTATTCTTTTGGAAAACTGGCTATCCTAGTAGAACCAAACCTCCATAAGGGGGCAATTCTTAAGATTAATATGTATTTTTTGTACAAATTTTGTCTTTTAATGAATGGAAGTTGCATTGTGAGTTGTTTTAACTTTTTTATCTAAGTAACTGTTGAGCATTATTGCTACATTAATTCATCGTACTACAAGAAATTAAAGGTCAGCATATTCACTGAAACAAATGGTTTCTCACGTTTTACAATCACTACATCATTTTACAAGCAGAGAAACTGAGTTATTAAAAAATCAAGTGACTGTTTCCACTACAGTAAAGATAAACCTTCGGCCAAGAGTTCTCTTTTCTCTGAAAATAAACACACACACACACTGATGCCCAGTTCCTGTCAACTGTCAAGTGACAGTTCTCTTTGGCTGTACACAGTGGGAGCAGCTTATAATTCCCAACCTATTGATTTGGAGTTCCCATGCCCCAATATATTTGCCTTGTATTTATAGTTTTTCCCCCCATTATATCCTCTAATAGGGAATTGTAATTACCCACACCTGTTTTAACAAGTAAAACAGGTTTCCATATTGAGTTTTTTAAACCTCATTCTAAATTGTCTTCCACCTATTTGAGGTTCTTTCTTTAGCAAACTACTAAAATGTTTACATACGGGGTTTTATTAGCATTTCTCTTTAATAGGTAGCAATTTCTCAACCTTGGAAAGTCCCTGGTTACTGGAAGAAGTATGCTTGTTTCAAGATTTAGTTTCATTGTACATAATGAGGAAAAACAAAGTGAAAGAATTGAGAAAAAAATAGAGAATGCTTGTGTTAGATGGGAGTAAGTGTAGGTTAAAACAAACAAAATCTGAAACTTGAGACTTTGAGGAACAAGCAGATAAAAATAGAAAGTCTGTAACAGTAATAGTTTAAAAAGTGGCAAAGAAGAGGAGAGAAAGCTGATATGACTGGGATGAGCAATAAACCCTAAGTGACCAACATTGATTTTCCCTTCTTAATTGCATATTTTTCTTCTAAACTATATTTTCAGAATTAAGGGGTTTTTTTGGTCATATTTAATTTGCATTTCAATCCTTCTACCTTGGCAAAGGTTTCTTTTTACTCAAAAATGAACCACAAAGACATCAAGTTTCTCATCTGTCATATATGAAGCTTAGCAGTCACCACTTCAACCTAACAATAAGGAAAAAGTTGAACAAATTGAAACATCAATAAACTGTCTTAGATGTTTAGAGCAATAAGGTCACAGGACAAACTGTTGCCCCCCCAAATTAGAAAGACAAGTATATAGAGAATTACCTGAATAGAAACCATTAAACAGAAACTTCCTTAGGAGCCAGTGCTGAGGTAGGAAAATCTGACTTTTAATTAATGAAGTCCTAAAGGCTTACTGTAGACAAGCCTGAGAAAGGAAAACTCTGAGAGACTCTAAGAGGAACTCACAATAAAGATCAGGGAAAAGCTGACAAAGACATTGCAAGAAAAGAAAATCATAAAATAATACATCTCATGTAAAATACTCAAGAAAATGTTAGCAAGTCAAATCCAAAGGTGTATAGAAAGAATTATATAATACAACCAAGTGGGATTTTTTCCTAGCTGGTTTAGCATTTGAAAATTAAGCTATGTAATCTATATTATCAACAGGCTAATGAAGAAAAATATACATGATGACAGCAATAGATACGGAAAAAGCATATGACAAAATTCTAAAACCGATTTCCAATAAACTCTTAGATAAGCAGGAGTAGTAGAAAACTTTCTAACTTGATAAAGAATAACTACAAAAAATCTTAGCTAACATGTGTCCTGTCTTATCACTGCATTTGGCATACTACTAGAAGTCCTGAATAATGTAATAAACCTAGAAAAGAAAGTGACGAAAAAAGAACTGTATTTGCAGAAACATGATCATCTATGCAGAAAGTAAAAAAAAAATAATCAACAAAAACCTCTACTAAGTGATAATAACATGGATGAAGGATACACGTTAAATAAAGTCATAAATCATGTTCCCAAAGACCAGCAATGAGCAAGTAGAATTTAAAACACATCATTATATTAGCAAATCCCCCTACTGCAATAAATAGATATAAACCTAACAAAATACATACAAGCTCTATACGAGAAAAACTATTAGACTCTCCTGTACAAAATCAAGAGTTAAACAAATGGAGAAACAGTCTGTAATTGCAGATAGGAATACACAATATTATCAATGCCAGTTCTCTGCAACATAATCTTTAGATTCAATATAATTCCTATGTCTTCTGGTGGAAACTTAAATGCTTATTACTAGGTTAAAAAAAAAAACAATCAGAAAAGGTTACATACTATATATGATTGCAACTATGTGACACTCAACAAAGGCAAAACTATGGTGACAATGAAAAGATTCACAGTTGCCAGGGTTTAGAGGAAGGAATGAATAGGGCTCATGAAAAATAAAACAAAGTAAACCACAAACTTTGTGTGACACTGGTGTGTCAAAGAGGGTTTACTTATTGCAACAAATGTACCATTCTGATGAGGGATGTTGACATCAGAGGTTGTGTGTGTGAGGGGTGGAGTTGGGGGGATAGGGATGTAAGGGGTATATAGAAATTCTCTGTATAATTTCTGTTCAATATTACTGTGAACTTACAACCACCCTAAAAATTAAGTTTATCTATGGTGGGGTGGGGGCTGGAGTAGAATAATGAAATAGAGCATGCTCTGAGACTGCCCCCTTGGGGTCATGTGTAAAAATAAACCTTTTTCACTAAGAAATGACTGGACTGGAGCACTAGGCATTCAGTAGCAATCTACTGTTTATATACCAATGACATCTACATCTTCATGAAGAAACCGCAAGGAAGAAAGTGACCAAAGAATTATCATCAATTAAAAAGAGCTGAATAAAGGAAAAAAACACCCCCACGGCCTAGTGTAGAAATACAATTTCCTTTGATGAGATTTGTTTACTTATTAAGAACTATTAGACAACTGCCATCTTTGAATAAGCTTTCCAAAAAATAAGTGGACCCTTGTGAAATATATCATATATATGGAATTTATCTATATATAGGTATATAGATATAAAATTTCTTGCATTTTAAACCAAAAATAACCTCAAAATTATCCTAACTCATGAAAGCATAGCCACAAAACAGCTATTTGTACACCTGAGTACATAAAGCATTACTCAACATGGTGGAAGCACGCCACCATGACCAAACACAAGTCCACTGACAAACAAATGGTTAAACAAAATGTGTATATCCATCCAATGGAATATTTTTCATCATTAAAAGGAAGAAAGTTCTGGCATATGCTACAACACAAATGAACCTTAAAGACATAGTAAGTGAAATAAGCCAGTCAGAAAAAGACAAATGCCAGGACTCTGCTCATGTGAAGTGCCTAGTTAAATTCAGAGAGACAGAAAGTAGAATGGTGGTTTCCAGAGATGAGGGAGAGGAGTGTGAGGGCATTTGTTGAATGGCTACAGTTTCAGTTTTACAAAAGAAAAAAGTTCTGGGGTAGAAAGTGATCCTGATTGCACAACAATGTTCAATGCACTCGGTCACTGAACTGTATACTTTAAAAATATGCAAAATTTGGTAAATGGTAAAAATTACCATTAGAATGGTAAATTTTATGTTAGATACATTTTGCCACAATTAAAAAAAGCAATTTTTAAAAGTGACTTCATTCATGTGCAATTCTCAAAGAAGCTACATCTAAAGGAAAGATTCATGTTTTGTGTTTTATGAACCTTACAGATTGAAGAAATCAAGGAGACAACATTAATGAATGCACTTGAAGACAGCTAAGTTTCACACAAATAAATGGATTTTATTGACACATATTTTCTTAAAGTAATAAATAGAATGCAATTTTAAGAGTTACTTTAGAGTTTGAAGGCAGCATATCTGTGATAGGATCAATCAGATTTTGGGGTACACTCTTCAAGAACTGCACGTAAGGGGGAACCTGTGTGCTAACTAGGAATCATACAGGTATGTGTAACATCTGTGTCAGCCCTGATGCCTCTCTCCACACATAAAAGCAATTCATAATACCTTGCCAGTATCACCCTAGTTCTCCACCCAAGTTTTAACATGTCATAAAAATATAGCTAGTGTCATAAAAAGTCAACATTTCAAATATAAAAATTCTTTTATACAAATATAATTCTTAATATAATCATTCTTAAAATACAGTCATTTATATGTGTTTGAAACATTATTAAAATAAATAATATTTCCTAGAGAAAAATTTCACTTGTGTCACAAAATTATAAAACAGAAGCATATAAAACTAATTCATGATTGACTCTATTTCAGTGTGTCTCCCGTTATCTCTCCCACTCATATCTACAGAATGGGGTACATTTGGCAAGTGTGAAAACACACAACAGCACCCCATATATACTCAGATCTAGGTCTTTGGACTTCATGTATATCTACCTGCACTGCCATGGTGGGAGCGCCTCTCTACCTGCAGCTTCTGCGATGAGAAGGGCGTACCTGTGCCAATTCACATGAATGTACTTTCCAACCATCCTTCTTCAGTTCAGCGCTGTTAGGAGTTTGTGACTTTCTGGAAGTTGGGGAAAACTTCTGCCTCCAAGGAGCTGTCTTTGCAGTCCCCTGCATGGCACTATCACAGCTCTTTTTCCAGGAAAGGGATATATTCTGATTATCTGAAGTATTAGGATTTTGGGGACTGTGGAATGGTACAAACCTTGACTTCCAGGGCCAAAATTTGTCTCCTGACTGATACCTCAATGTTGCATAGTGCTTATTTTGACAGGCTATCTTGTGACTCACTTGCTTCTAATTCATGGAAATAAGACAGTCAGAATGATTAACAGGCAATATAGTTTTTTGTTTTTATGTATCTTGGAGAGAAGGGAGAAAAAGGGACATAAGTTTATATAAACCACTAAAGTTTTCAGTTATCATTGTGTAATCATATCTCTAGGTAGTATAATGATAGTCCTTCTCCGATACTACAGATTAATGCTTTTCCCTAAACAATAAGTTGAAGAATTAAGTTGGTTGCAGTTTATACCCATCTTTCCAATTACCAACAAAGGGAAAGTGTCTTCAGGAAAATCTGGCTTGCAAATCTTCAAGGATTGAAGTACCTTTCACACAATTTGACCATTGCCAGAAAGCCATTATGCAGACCCATGTGAAAGCCCTTAATTCCTCTTACCAAAAATTAAAAAAAAAAAAAAATTAGTCATTCTTGTTTTATGAGGCAGGAACTTTTCTTCCTCCAACTCTGTGAGTGACTATCCAGTACTAAACGTCTGTATTGCTCTCTAAAGCCGCGTGTCTTGCACCTCTTCTTCCGTCTCCTCCTTCAGAGCAGCAATTTTGGATCTGGACTTGTGTTTGCTGGAGTTTCGGAGGGGGAAGAGCTTCAAGCGGTCCGAGGAGCTGATGGCCTGCCGGAAGAGGCTCTTCTCGCTTAGCAGCTTTTGGATGGAATCATACTGCCGCACTTTGTTTTCCTCTATGACCTAAGGAAGTGGCCATTAGTAAGATCTCAGACAGAAGCAGGGTGGACCAGAGCCAGGACAGAAACTGGCATAGGCTCAGAAAAAATAAAGACCAAAGAGAAGACACAGTATCCAGAGGCTTGCAGTCCGAACATTCTCACCTATCTCATTAATGGCTGAGTCCTCTTGCTTATGAAGCTTATACAATAAATTTTCTACTTAGCAGCTGGAAGATTTATTTTTTTAATGACTGTAGTACTGAGCACTAGGCTTCTTCAGAGAACTTTTTAGGGTTCTCTGAAAACAAGAATGATTCCTGTTTCATCCCTTATTTATGACCTTAGAAATGAATGTAAATCCACAGCACAACAAAGCTGAACCTTTTTTCAGCTGGGGATTTTTGAAACTGAACAATTCCAAACTGGTGCCTGAGTTTGATGTGCCTCCTTCCATGTTCATGTTGGGCAAATCCAAGGCCAAAGAATAGAAGAGCTTTACCCAACCTCTGCAGTCTGATCATGGCAGGTCAAGAGGTCATGAGTCTGCACCCTAATTTGTCAAGTTGTCCATAATAATGGTAATAACAATCCTTCAGTCAGGAAAACATTTACCTCTGGGAACCTCAAAAGGTTTAACAGAGATGACATGATACATCATTATCCTCAGAACTTCCTTATGACTAAATCCGAGGGAATGTATAAACAGCACTTGAAAGAATCTGTGACAGTTTGGAAAGCAATATGAGAAGCTGGTTGGGAGAGTCATTAAACTGACCCCTGACCCCAAAGAATAATTAGAAAAATGAAAAGAATCTTTTGACTATCACATTAAAACCATTATCAGATTGCAAGACCATCCAGGCTTATTCTGGACCTCATCCAAGGTTTAGTTATTGAAAGTATCAGGACATTGTCTTTCTTGATCCCTAAACAAAAAGGTTCAAAAATGTATAGATATTCCAGTTCATTCGTTAACTTGGTAATATGCTGTTATTTATTGAATTCCAGTCTCATAGCTCAAATCAAAGCAAGAAACTTGTGCAACAATTTTGAATAAAGCCGTTTGACAGTAGATACATGTTTTAAGGAACAACTTGCAGACTGTTGTGATTTGCAGTAACTACCACATATAAGATTATTATCAAGACTTAAAGGAGACATGAGATCTTAAATCATGCACTCACCAAAAATCGTTGACATTCCAACATTGCTTCTATCCTGTGTTCACAGAGGATTACCGTGCAATCAGCAAATGCTTGTTTTAGGGTTCTTCGAATGATTTGGTATGTTCTAGAAAAGAAAAAACATACCACATATAATATCACAGAACATCATAATAGCCTTTCAAACTTGATAACATAACTTTCAACCTATCTTTAAATTACTTATCTTTCTTTAAAATACTTTAAAAATTATTATTGATGTAGAGTCAGCCACAATCAGCTTCTATAAGGAAGATTCTGCATTTCCATAAATAAAATAACCAAATATATTGAAGATAATTTTCACAAATAAATATGTTTTCTCATTACAGAGAATCACTAGTAGTCCTGTTGTGTTCTAACTATTCTCTATTGCATACATGTGACAGAAAGAAAAATCATAATGATCAGATATGCAGTGCAACTAAATATTTCCTCATGTATTGACAAGGGCAAAATGTTTATGTGAAATTCCAAAATTAGTCAGAAAAGAATGTAGGACTCTTATATCAAGAAATATGTCCTTGTGCTCAGGTCAAATAGTGACTCTTCCCTTGGGCAGTTACTTCATATCTGGGGTGGGGTGTCCTCCACTTGTTTACATGATGGCCTCGTGGGAATCTGTGTCAAAATGAAGTAGGCCTTCCTTGATAATTCTGCTCCAACTGTATTACTACATTACAAGAAGTCTGAAACTCACATTGGATCCAAATGAGCACTGGGTTCATCAAGCAGCAAGATCTTTGCCTTACTGAGGACAGATCTGGCCAAACACATTAACTGCTTGTGGCCATGGCTTAGGACACAACCCCCATCCACAAGGGCAAAATCAAGCTTCCCTGGAAACTGCTCTATCACAGATCTGAGTCCAACCTGCAGAAAAGGAAGAAGGAAAACACCGTGCTTAGAAAGGATGGTTTAGATAACACAAACTTAAAAACAGTCAAAAGACTGACAGTCTAAAAAGGCATGTAGACATTCTGAAAGTCTAAATTTCCTATCTCCCACCCTCCTGCTATTTGGGTTTGATTGAACAAAAGTCTATGTGCTTTCTTGGCAGCTCTAAAGGCTCCATGTATGATCTGTCTTGTTTCTGTGCTGACCTTCACTCACTATGGAAATTTTCAGATGTCTATCGTGTGCCAAGTACTTCCTTAGGTATTAAAGAAATGATAAATGGCATAAGGCCCCTAGAAGGTTCAGGATTTATAAAGACATACACAAATAATTACAACACAACTGAATATATGCTACTGAACATAATATTCCAGAATGTTTTTACTCCAGCACAACAGATTGTTTTATGTTACTTTCCATTCTCCACTCTGTCATAATACAGTATTAAAAAGTAACATAAAAGAATCAAGTGAGTAGCTCTCTAAGACCATGTCCGGGATGGGTAAAAGAGCCATCTTAACAATTCTTCCAATCCATGAACAGGGAATTTCTTTGTGTCTTTTATTTCTTCTAATGGTGCCTCACAGTTTTAGTTGTATGGGTAAAACAACTTCTTTGTTAAATTTATCCCTAGGTAGTCAAGTTTTTTGATATAAATATAAATGGGACTGTTTACTTGATTTCTTTTTCTTCTAGTTTATTGTTTGTGTTTTGGAATACAATGGATTTTTGTATATTGACTTTGGAGTCGGCCACTTCACAGTACTAATTTATTGTTTTTAACAGTTTTTTATGCATTCTTGAGGGTTTTCTATCTATATTATGCCATTTGCAAATAGTGACAGCTATACTTCTTTCCCAACTTAAATTCCTTTTATATCTTTCTCTTTTCTAATTACTGTAGCTAGAACTCTCAATACTATGTTGAACAGTAGTGGTGAAAGTAGACATTTTCATCTTGTAGTTCATTTTAGAGGAAAAGTTCTCAATTTTTCATCATTAAGTATGATGTTAGCTGTGGACTTGACATATTAGGCTTTATTTTGTTGAGGTATATTCCTTCTATTCTCATTTTTTGGAGAGCTTTTTTGTTATTTTTTTTTTTAATTATTATTATTTATTTATTTATTTTATTTGTTTGCTTATACAAGCACTGGGTACAGTCAGAAGTGTGGGAGGGTGAGAGAATTCACCAGAGCCAGAGCGGGGAGCAGAGCAGGCAGAAGGACCGAAGTACACTGCTGAGGGGAGCAGCGGGCGGCAGGAGAGGTCTGCGCGCCATGTGGGACCCTCCTCTGGTGGCCGGGGAGCAGCCGGGGATCGAACCGGCACCGCAGAGGCCGCGGGCAGCTTCGCAACCCAGCATTCAACCGCTGCGCCACCGGGGAGGCCCGAGAGCTTTTTTAAATGACAAATGGATATGAATCTATAACTCTAAATCATACATAGCATTGTAAACCAACATTACCTCAATAAAAAAAATATAATTTAAAAAACAAATACATATTTCAACTCATTACTCATTTCTTTGATAAAATCAATTCTAAGAAATTGATGCAATCACAAAGTGGAAAAAAACTGGCTTCAAAGCAATGGTACTAAGAGATTTAAAGGTGCTTAGATATTGGGGTAGAATAAGAGTTTTGTTCACACCAGTAGCTTATTTTTTAAAGCTAGATAGGAAAAATAGCTTGAAAATGCAAACAAGATACAGAAACCCATTATTTCAAAATAAGACAAAAGTGATTGAAGTCTCAGCTTTTACTATTTATTCAGATAAATATACATTGATGTTCATTTTTTGCAAAGCATTGCTAAATATTTGCTGGCTAAAGAAATACATACGTAATTGTCTCCAGTCTTTGGGAAGTCTGGGATTTAGTTATCAGAAAGTAAGATGTACTCCCACTTAACTGTATTACAGGCAGCATGAAATAATGACTTTAAGAAAGACTCTCAGGAGTCAAGTGATGAATTCAGAGATGGCCGCCTCACTGTGTTTGTTCAGCAAATATTAACTGTGTGCCATGATGTTCACTGCAGACAACAATCCTTTCCTTGACTGAGTTTCTCATTAAAGCAATCTCACTTGGTGAAAATTCATTAATATTTAAAAGGATTTCTGAGATTGTGGGAAAGGTAAGCACATTAATTAGACAACAGGGACTCCTCTGATGTATCCTGGGAGACACAAATATAAAACTACTTTCTGATCCAAGTGTTTGATAATGTGAATAAAGGACATCAGACTAGAGTACTCAGATGCTTTCTGGCTTCAATTTTTTTAATTATTGGCTTCAGCCTGCAAATATTCTACAGCCTTTACCTTCTTAAAACAACAGCAAAACTTCTCACTTGCTGCCAGGCTCTCGTTTAGTTATTATTCAATATTCTCTATGTCATTGAGAAATCTCAAAAGGTTAATGTGCTTCTCAATTATCTCCACGTCTTATACCAGAACATTTTTTTTCCTTCTTGAAACATGTATTCCTTGTCTTATAAGAAACCACACTTTCTATGACCATTTCTCCCTTTTATCATGTATGGGCAACTCTTCCTCTTCTGGACACTTGATTATTAGTCTTCCTCACTCCCAACTCTCTAAACTCTTCTAATAAGTGCTCATTTATTCTTAGGTATATACTATCACTCATGAGCTAACGATTTTTCAAATCTTTATCTTCAGCCCTGGATATATACTTCTTAAACTATTGTCCCCCTTGGGAACCCTATTACAGTGACCCTTGCTCAGGCCATCCTTATCTCTTAAGCATCATGCTATTAATCCCAAGTAGCTGATTTGTCACTTTAAAACACAACACCTCAGGGATCCTCTGAAAATACCCAGTGGATTATAAAGGATTATGAATGCTTTTGTGGTGGGCATGGTATGGTAACACACATTTGAAGAGATAACATACATCTTAAGTGCTATAAACCAACATTACATCAATAAAAAACACAAATTAATATAAATGTATATGTATAAAGAAAGAAAAATTAAAGATAGACTACATTACTCTCTGTTTGAAATCCTAAAATAGTTCTTTTCTGGAGAGAATACAACTGAGTTCTCTCATATGGCATATAAGGCATCCAGAATTGATGAATTACTTTTGGTAGCATCGAAAAGCTTGCAGTTCCTGTATACCTTAACTGTCTCTCAAGTTTTAGTGCCATTATTTAGCATTCTGAATATTTCAGATCATCCTTTAGGGCAGTCCAGTACCTAGTGTTGATAATATGTGTGCAAGTTCCCCTGTTAGACTGTCAGCTTCCTGAGGGTAAAGATTTGTGTTCTTTAGCTATGTGCCAATACTGAAACACATTGTCAGTCTTGACATGTCCATTCATTTATGACAAACACGTACTAAGTTTCTAGAATGCTGGCCAAACAAAACAAACATGATTTTGATGAATGACAAATGCAAACTTAAGGAAGAATGGCATTATAAATGAATGGGTGCTGGCTTTAGCTCTGCCGATGCAGAGTGTGAGCTATATGACAAGTCACTTTGCTTGTCTGTGTGCCTCTGTTTGCTTATCTTTAAGACTCGATATAATCCCTTAAAATCAAATTATGAAAATAGAAGGTCCTTAACAATGACAGAGATGTCAATATTTTATTTTAGATTAGTTACTAGTGTTTAAGGATTTTTTTCAGTATTTTTTTCATTGTATTTCCCTTTTTTAAAATTTGGCAACATTTTATAGCAGTATGTGTGATTCAGAGGTATAAGTCAAATGACTCATCAAGAAAAGTACTGGTTAAAGTCTGGGGCTCTACAGTCAAATAGAAGTGACTTTGAATCTGCATTCCACCACTCATTTGCTGATGGTGACAGTATGTTACTTTAAGCCTCAATACCTCACAGGTAAAAAGTGGGGGAAATAAGAGTATAGAATTCAAAGGATTGTAATGAGGATTAAATGAGATAATTTGTGGAAAGAGGTTGGCACAGAAAGTGGCAATTGGTAGGTATCTATTCTGTGGTAGCTATTAGTATAATTATATAGCCTAGGAAATTCCAAGGACAGTGGCCTCTTCATTGAAACACTATCCTGGTATGACAACAAGCTCTGTGAGATTTTTCCCAAGTTGCCTTGGGAAGGCAGCAGGAAGTATTGCAATACTATTAATTTATATCATATACCTATAATAAGGTTGAGGTTTTGGTAAGTAGTACATATTCTCCACTGAGCATCACACAAATCAAACACTCATTTCCTGAGTCTATATTAGGAAAAGCTACTTTCCTGTGTTATAGTTTGCACTTCCCTGTGATAAAGTGTGTGTTTTTTTTCCCAAATGAAACTATTTCCTTCCTTCAAGTAAGTAATTAAGCACCTAAATGTTTTTCACTATCAATATTTTGAGGACACAGTTTTAAAAAGTGAATGATGGTGAGACAGACCAATTTAGAGTGTATTTCATGACCTTCTTATCTCATTCTTGCATTTACTATGAAGTATAGTTAAAAAAATCGTTTACAATCATATTCTAACAGAAGTTGTTAGAACTTTAAATTCTGAAGTCAATGAACACTCAACAAATGCATTACTTTTCTCTGCCATATGTGATAGGCTTTGGAGAGAAAATGGGAAGCAAAATACACTAATTGCTTTTGAAAAGATATAAAAGTATGTTACCAACTCTATGTACTGATAAGAATAGCTTAAATTAGCCACTGATTACTTGGATGTAAATGACTGCTTACTCTTGTATTCCTTAATAGACTCTTAATGAGAGTGTATTAAATTCTAGGTCATATGGCAGACCTGGGGATTCAAAGATGAATAGCACTAGGCCCTGCCTTAAAGGAACTCATGGTCCAGATGGGAAGGAAACTAATAGTGGGAAATTGCTGTTCAAAGATTTAAGTGCTATAAAGGAAAAAGATATGAAAGGTAATTGCTAGACAGATAATCTAATTTAGTGATCTTTAGCAGATTTTTTAAAAATACGAGATACATAAACATATTCCCAATACAGTGCTATTTTCTAATATTATCATAAACCATTTTTCAATAGATTAAAAGTATATACAATTTAGTTTGGCTCTATCCAAGCTATGATGAATTAAAAATTACATTAAAAATTAAAAATAAAGCATTAAAAATAAAGCATCATCAGTATGTAGATATGCAGAATTTTGAAGATTACAGAATTAGGCCATTTTATGCTATTAGGCTAGTAAATCACATATACTTCATATACACTATGATTTAGAAAGAAGTTGTTTTGTGACGTATCAAACTAAAAAATGTACCATAGTCTGTAAAGGACCAGGCATTATCTTCAAAATGTTGACTTCTGTTAATGTTGCACTCTGGAATGTTATTATGGAGCAAGTGTTTGCTCTAGTGAAACGAAAACATGAAAAAACTCAGCAAGTTGCGGTTGTTCTGAACAGTCCATGAGTAGGCAGTGATAAAAATAGACACTCTTAACTCGTGGGACAGTCCTTTCACTACTCTGCAGGTTTTCCAGGGGAATTTTTAACCCAAAGGGCCACTATTTCTGTTACTTAGCTTCCTCGCTAAAATAACTGTCCAGATTATCAAATGTATAAAGGAAGGAAAATGTTTTTTTAAAAATATAACTAAGTATGAATTGATCAAATAAAATTCTAAATACAGGTAAAAGTTTTACACATTATATTGGTAATTAAAATAACATCTTTTAAAATTTTAACTAATTTTTATGACACTGATTCGCTGTATATTTATTGTTACTTGGCAATAGTTTCAGATTTTATAAAGACTAATGTCTTCCTTCTCAAGTTTTTTTCCCTACTACATTGTGTTCCTATAGTTCATTCTCTGAAAGTCACATCAAAGATCTTAAAATGTTCCACTCACAATTTAGTTAATGTTTTCTTTAAAACTTCTTTAAAACTTTGTTGGGTAATAAGGAAACTTTGATAATGAAAATGGTCAGTCTAAGTGCATTTCATAAGGGATGTGTAAGGTTGGGCCCTCAATTTGTCAGTGTTAAACACTCACAGGGATTTTGAAGCTTGTGGCAGAATTTACTCTGAAGGGAAAAAGAAAATGGGTCCTGTAAGTGTAGACTGCCACCGTCCACAGGTTGGGACTTCAATCTCAAGTTTTATGAAATGGAATAATTTATGTTCTCCCTTTCTTTAATATAATGCCTCTGTTTCAAGAACTATCAGTTTACAGATAGAATATTGTGGTAGAAGGAAACCTAGAATTTCACTCTACTCCCTTAAATCCCGAACTCTTCTGTATAATGCCTTCAATTATAATGAATCACCTGTTGGGTAAGTAAAGAGTGTTATTTAGGAATTTCAATTTTGTTTTGATCTATGTATTTCCCATATGGTGTCCCAAGGACTTCACGGAACAGAGACTACCTCATCTAGATCTTGTGGAATTTTGCCCGACTACTGCTGAGACAACTGTAGCTATTTGAAGGAGCTCTAGAATAATTATCATCCTTCTTTCCTAAACCTATACTTCCCAGGAAATACGACATCTTAAAGCAAATCTTCCTTCTTATCTTTGGGAACCCAGCTAGGGATTTGAGATTGTGTGGAAAACGATCTTTTGCATCAGGAATTAACGTGGAGCACTGCAGGTACCTGGGTCTCTCCTAGTTCATGTCTCACTGTTGCACATTGCTGGAAAGGAAGGAAAATGAGTGCTGTCTCTGGAGCCTCATAATTGGAGACTTACCACTGAGGAGAATAGAAGATCTAGTCCAAATTACTGCATATTCCAGGCATATCAGGGCTCTCCATTTTAAAGTTGTATACATAGACACACATACATTATCATAGGTAAGTGTGGAACATTATTTCAGCTATGAAAACCACTCTTGTGTATGAGCTGCCTTTTTAAAATTATTTTAGTGAGCATTCTTACCTCATCTGCAACTTTCCATAATTCTTGATCATTCCATTGTTCATAGGGATCCAAGTTTTTTCTAAATGTTCCAGAAAAGATAAATACTTTCTGTAGCATAAAGAGATAAGAAGAAAACATAAACAACCAAAACATTTTATGTTTCCCTTGTTATTGTACAATATTTCTACCAGAAATAAATATTTTAAAATTGGCTAGCAAACACCCATGTACTTACCATTCATTTTTATTTTAAAATCTTACATTTGGGCCTCCCCGGTGGCGCAGTGGTTGAGCACTGGGTTGCGAAGCTGCCCTCAGCCTCTGCAGCGTCGGTTCAATCCCTGGCCACCGGGTGAGGGTCCCACGTGGTGTGCAGACCTCTCCTGCTGCCCACTGCTCCCCTCAGCAGCATATTTCGTCAGTCTCAGTCTGTCTGTTCTGCTCCCTGCTCTGGCTCTGGTGAATTCTCTCACCCTCCCATGCTTCTGACTGTACCCAGTGCTTATATAAATAAATAAATAAATCTTTGAAATAAATAAATAAAATCTTACATTTACTTTGTTTAATTTTTTAGAAATAAAATATTACAGCTACATTTGAAGCATCTCATTAATAGTTATTAAGTCCCAATAACTTTAGGATAAAGGTATTAAAATCATTGTAAATGGTAGAATATTATTTTTTATCCTAGCAATATTCCTTACTATAAGCAAATATAAAATCAAAGTTAAAAATTATACGTTATAATTAACTCATTAGAACAAATTGATCTTTTGTTAGCATATTCTTTTTGATGTTCTTTTATAAATTTAACTTCCTAGGGGATTTTGAAGTTGTTTGAATTTATAGATATTCATATAAACATACCTGTTCATCTGGTCTATGAACCAAGGGACACCTCTACTTACAAATCCATAGAGGCCCACAGGAGAGGACCACAACTTAGAAGTCAGTGAAAGAGTGGAAATCAAATGTTTATTTAATTTAATGAATGTTACAGAAGAGAAGGAAGGGAGGCAGGTAAGACTGATCCTGCTGAGGTGACAAAATAACGATCTAATTTTTTGCAAGGAGCACTGAGCTATATCATACTAAAACATTCACCAGATTGCTGTTCACTTAGTCTAATATGATAAAAAAATATTTTAAGAGAAAATCACTCTCATTGAGAAATGCTGATGTGACAATAATATTTAATTCTCTCTGTGCATACAGATGAACTAAAAATATTTTTTATTTTAACATTATAATCTTTTTTCTTTTGCCTTTGATATATACCACAGTAAGGAGAATTAAGAACTAAATTTCTTGAAGCCCTTAGTTTCACACAGCCTGTGAATTGTTTCCCCAAAATTTATTTCAAATCCATTCACTTCTCTATTTCTACTAGTACCTCATGGCTCAAAGTACCAATCTCCTTCTGGAACACAACAAAAATCTCCAACCAAAGTAATTTCTTCCCTTTCAGTTGGACTCTCATTTAGCAACCAAGGCAATCACTGCAAATATAAACTGGATGATGTCATTAACCTATTAAAAAGCCTTCAGTGATCTTTTATTATATTCAGAGCTAAGAGTAAAATGCTCAGATAATCTACAGATCTTATGTGATTTAGCCCCTTCTGCTGCTTCTGGTTTACTTAGTTCTCTGCTCTACTCTCTTTCCTTCTTATGCCAGCTGCATGGCTTTTCTTTCTCCCCCCTGGGAATTTCATCTATTACAGTATTCCCATGGCCAACTACATTCTTCATGTCTCACATTAAAAGTCACTTCCTCAGAGGCATCTTTCCTGACGCTAAAAAATCAAAAATATGTTCCCCCCCAAACATGAGCTCATAAAGTTGTACTTACTTTCAGAGCTTACAGTGAACATTAAAACTATATATGCAGGGCCTCGCCTGTGGTGCAGCGGTTGAGCGCTGGGTTGCGAAGCTGTCCGCAGCCTCTGCAGCGCCGGTTCGATCCCTGGCTGCTCCCTGGCCATTGGAGGAGGGTCCCACATGGAGCACAGACCTCTCCTGCCGCCCACTGCTCCCCTCAGCAGTGTACTTCGGTCCTTCTGCCTGCTCTGCTTCCCACTCTGGCTCTGGTGAATTCTTTCACCCTCCTGCGCTTCTGACTGTACCCAGTGCTTGTATAAATAAATAAAAATAAATCTTAAAAAAAAACTATATATGCATTTGTGAGTATTTTGCTTTTAATGTCTATTTCTTCTCTTAGACCATACCTTTGCAGAGTACCCTGCTATCAGCTCACAGGTTTTGTATCTAATATATGCTCAATAGATGTTGACTGAATAAGTAATTGGTCTAATGTGAAGATAAAAATTAAAAATATAAAAACATCAGAGTTCAGCAAATATTATTTTTCTTCCTTCTGGAAAAATATTTACTACAAACCACAGTAAAGGAGTAATACTAACAATCCACTATAATTTTGATCATTCTTGCAGAAACCTCACAAATGTACATCAGCCAGATGATCAAAAACAGCATCAATAATGACAAGTCATCTTGAGCAAAGATCCTTGGTATTAAGTGATAAAAACAGCATTTTGCCTCTATGATATTCCTCACACATGACTTGAAAAGGCATATAACATATATAACTGAGGAGCATTCTACAAAACACATGAACAACATTCCTCAAAACTTTTCAGAGCATAAAAATTATATAAAGCTTGAGAAACCAGCACAGACAAGTGGAGCTTAATGAGACAGGATGATCTAACATAATGTGCCAGCTGGGATGAGTCCAGGAACAGAAAATGTTAAAACCTAAGTAAATCTAAATAAAACAAGGACTTTATTATCAATACTGTATCAATTTGGGATATTATCTGCAAAAATATATCAACTGATATCACATTAATAATAGTCTGGGTGAGAATTCTTAGTATTTACTATCTTCACACTTTTTTTGGTAAATCTAAACTATTATAAAATTTAAATTTTACTTATAATCATTGTTAAATTTTTTCTAGCACATAGCATTGCATAATTAGTCCCACTATATGTTACTAGCATTTGACACAACTATTCTTACTGTTTTTAGTGTTATTTGCTAGCATATTATAAAAATTTGAATAATACACAATGATATATAATTCATAAAAAACTTGGATCATACTCTGTAATTGCTTGAGAAATGGCATGCCTAACTTTTTCTCATAATAGCCCAATGATTTATATGTAATACCAATGAAATGTATGACAATATATGTTGACTAATTTTATTTACAATAGATAAATATTCAAAATTATGAAAGAAGAAAATTTTGTTGAAATTAGACAACTAGAAATCTTAGATGTGTTAGACTTCATACCGTTTAGAAATTCTGTAGTTTTCTTTACAGTTTATTGTCCAGCATTAAAGTAATGCCTTGATTTTTATTTTAAAGAAAAATTAATTGAGTGAACTAGTTCCAACAGAATTCGATTTCATACAATTAATCAGACATTCTGTTCCTGTATAACAAAGAGTATTTGGCACTTTCTGGCTTCCAGGGGTGCCAGCAGGTATCTTAGTTTTGTCTTCTAAAGTGTTTGAAATTTCCACAAACTTATCTCTAAAGCTAAAAGGTTCTTGAAGGTAACATAAGCCCGTTTCCTGGTATATAAATGAAACAGCCGTGGTCCTGAAGTTACACGGCTTAGTCAAACTGATTATACAGCAGAAAATACACTAGATCTATAAATAACAGTAATCCTCTATCTCTCCTTTGAGACTATTCACCAGCAGGAAAGTTATGATGTATAACTACTTGAAATTTATTTTACTGTTATGTAGTTCTGGCATAATGAGCAATTCCTGGAACTCAACAAGAGCATCATTGCTCACCACCTGACTGACTAATCTCCTTGAAGTTGACTCTTCAACAACTCAATTCAGTGCAGAGGGCACAGCCTACATGGTGCTCAGAGTTGGTCATCTGTCACTGCAACAGGCATTATGTTTTAGCCTTGAATGTCAAATTAAAAAACAAAACAAAATGGGACTTGCTACTATAGTGATTATATGTAATATAAATTAAGTAAGTGGGAGAAATGACTCCTTATTCCTAAGCATAAAGCTAGTTATTTTTCTCTTTTTCCTTGAATTTACACTCTACCCTCAGAGTCCAGACTCTGATCACATCACAGCAGGATCTTCCTATTCTGACTACCTAGGTTCATTCACCACATGCAGCCAGCAGCTGTGTGCTCTTCTGCCACCCTATACCTTCCTCTTCCTAGTTCAAGAGGTCGGCTCATTCCTTACTGGGCCATTTCAGTATTTGTCAAGAATTTCCCTCTTTCTCCTTAACCCCCACCCACCTCTTTTTAGTTCCTGTCTCTATACTTGACCATAATATTCCTGCCTGGGAACCTGAATATCCTCTCCACAACCCTCTGGCTTCAACCTTTCTGAAACATACAAACTCTACAACCCTTTATGGTCCCCTTTCATCATCACTTCTCTGTGAAATTGTCCATCCTCATTTGTTCATTCCAACAGCATGTACTTCAAATTCAATACAAAGATGAAAGGGACATGAGCCTCTGCCTCAAGGAACTATAAATGGTAAAAATCACCACCACAACCCAGTGTTTTGTATCTACTATGTGCCAGGAATAGCCTAAGTGCTTTTAATTATTACTTTACTCATTTAATCCTCAAAAAGACTCATTGAGGTAGTTGCTTCAATTACCCATTTTATAGACAAGGAAACCATGGCTCAGGGAGATTAAATAACTTGTCTAGTAAAACTCAGAGACTGGTAGAGCCACAGTAAAGAGATTAAGCAGTGACTCAGCACATAAACAACATAAATTTAATACATATGCTATTGTGCTATGTGTATATAAGAGAAAAAATAAAGAAAAAAGTATGTTTTATTTTGCAATTCTATTATATTCATTTTGCAGATGTTCTTTAATTATTGAACTTCTCTTTAATTCTTGCTTCCTGCAAAGTGTTTGCAATATTGAGTGTAAATTAAACAAATAAACAGATAATACTTATATAAGACAGAGAGATGTGCCAAAAGAGATTTAGAAATTAAGTTCTAGACACCATGTGAGATTAGGATGTGGGAATTGTTGGGAGAGATCAGGACAATGGTGGGAAGGAAGGGAGTTTAGCCTTTGAGATGCTGATGTGACTATGGTGAAGAAAAATCATCAGACACAGGAGGTGCGTAGACAGAGGAAATGAGAGAGAAAAGCAAGGTATCTTTCATGGAACATTAAGTGCAGTTTGACTGGAACTTAAAGGTGCTCAAGGGTAGAGTGATGAATCTGACAGGAAAGGTTGGCTTGGAAAACATGATTGTCAGGGACCTAAACCACCATGGTAGAATCTGAACTTTACTAAGTAAAAATGTGGTGTCCCATAAGGTTTTTGATTTGGTAAATCACAAAATCAAAATGCTATTTTTAGAAGTGTAATTTGTGAACAACAAATAATGAGAGACACAAAGAAGATGAAGAGAAAAGCACAACACTGGAGTAAATGGAAGGACACTATGACTTGGTGGCAACAGTGACATCAGGACATGGGCTGGAGTCTGTTGTAGCCTCGAACGGCACACCCTGACTGGCTGGTGCCTTGACCCATGATTGCATTTATCAGTTTGGCTTCTCCCTTTGATCTCCAATGTCATTTATCAGCTTGGCTTCTCCCTTTGATCTCTGATGTATGGCAACAAATGTCATTTAGGAAGTTCACAGGTTGGATTGGAAGCAAAATACATTTTATATAATGACAGAGTCTACAGTAATTGCTACAACTTTAAGCATGTAAGAGTTTAATAACCAGTTAATAAATTGTTCAGCAGAATGAGAACTGCTGTACTCCAATTATGTTGCTCAGATCTAGAGATACTATTTTGGCCCCTTCTGATATCCCAAAAAGATTCTTTAACTCTTAGTGGAAGTTCAATGTGCAGACAGGTTATTTTTAGATCAAAAGTCTCATTGTAAGAATGAACCTAGTCATTCCCTGCAAATAGGTAGCATCTTTCAAACTTGTAATTGAAGCTTAAAAACTCTATTTTTGAATTATTTTTTTCTGTTTTTCATGAATTAATTGCTTAACATGGTTCAAGACAAATAAACAAGTTTAAGTCCTCATGTTTGAATTGCCTAAGACAACGGGGCCTGACAAAAGATGTCACTATCACTCCTGTGTGTCCTCTTTACAGCTCACTGGTTAAGTGGAGCAAATTAAAGAAGGCTCCAACTTGAAATGTACACAATACCCTATTCCCCAAGATTGCTTTTTAGCTACAGGAGGGAAGAACAATTTCAAAAAACCTGCAAGAACTTGCCAAAACTAATGACACCTTGTGATTCCACAACTGATATCTTGGGATCACTACGGGGGAGAGGGAATGTTTCACATCCATGTGTCTGAAAACAAGTTTCTAACTGACCCCAGAGATCTCTGATGTCCCAGTGTCAGAGATCTTGGAGATCTATGCTCTTGCAAGGTCAGAAAGATGGAAGAAAGGAAAAGATGGAAAAGCAAACAAAATTAGTTCTCAGATTTTTAGTTCCTGCTTCCTTCTTTTTTTCAAGGTCAAATTTCAGGAAAGGAAAAACAAACAATTTGAACTTTCAAAGGTAAGTTAAGAAAACGAAAGCATCTCTTGATTTGGATATTAAAGATATACAAAGAGTTGATCCTCTTTTTCTCTTAGGCACTTGCTAACTGCTGTCAAGATGCCATTGTAGAAAAATAATGCATTCTGGATAAGACATTCTTGTGATAATGGGAGACAGTCCCAGAAGCCTAGGTCACAAACATCAAGAAGAAACAACTATCACAAGAGCATATATTTTTGAAAGTATTTTTCAAAGTATTTCTTGTTTATAATAACCTTGAAGCCAAAGAGAGGGGAAGACAAAATCAAGGCAAGTTTGGAAGATAAGCTTTGACAGAAAGGCAAGAAAAAGAAATTTTATCACTCCAGTCCATACAATTTCCTTCCAGGTTTTATGTATTTGGATTCCTAAATAGAACACACAATAAAACAAAACTATCTCTAGGAGATGGTAAGCTAATGGATTCCTATTGAAATTGAAATGTTTTTTAGAGTTTTACTTACTCTAACAGGTAGAACTGTCCAAACCACAATAGTAAGTAAAGGTTCCTTATTGTAGCTAAAACAGGACCAGAAGACTTAAAGTCAACTGAACAGCAATGCTTCTGGGGCAACCAGATACTATTCAGTGTTCTTTAACATTGTTACACTGCCTAATGCCATCACCTTGGGATACTTGCATTCCCTATTTGTCTTTAGATCATCTCACAATCCCTTTTATCTTTGTGAAGAAAGAATACTGTTTTTCAAAAGGTAAACAGGATGAAGTTCCTGGCGACATGCAAAGTCTAGAAAAATGAGTTAAAAGCATCAATCTAGCAGTTACAATATTTAATGCCTCATTAACTGAAAGGAGCAAATGTTCCATAAAGATAATCTATCAAGAAGTACAAGTTCCTTTCTCAGCCTCAATTTGTAGTCAGTCCATCTGGAGATGTTCCCAGCATTTTAATTTTGGGGTATAAGAGAGAATTGCTGGCACTATGGTAGTGGAATGAATTCAGTACCCATTAGCACAAAGTGAACAAAGTGGTAAGTAAAACCGTAACTATGTCCATAGAAATGAGAGTAAATTGCAGAAGAATTATGGCATATATGCCTTTCAGATATGGTTTCAGTGAAGATATTCCTTAGTGTGATTTAGATCATTTTAAACTGGAATTTTAAGCTGCTACTTCTCACATATGTAACAAATCCTCTTTCACAATAACACAGAATGATACTAAGCCAGTGAGGCTAGAGATCCTTTGTGACCCAAATCAAAGAGTGACATTTAAAAAGAAAATAGCTACAGTTTAATCTGACATGGCTCATTCTATCCAAAGAACAAAAAACAATCATTACACTTTCTATTTTCAATTCCACTACCTCATGCTTCCCAATGTTTGTTATTTCAGCAGCATCTTTTCTATCCTTCAAAGCATTTCTCAATCTGCTGTGACTGCTAACTTGGAGCTCAGACTACTGAAGCAGGACCCTAAAGATCTGATAAAAACAAAAGCCCCACGTTCCCATCATGAATTTTGTATTTTGGTAAAGGTAATAATTGCTTTACCAAAACTATTAATATTTCAAAACTACAAGTCACAGTATTCCAGACTTTTAGAGATAACTTTTCTCCCTAAGAAAAGACTGCTTTGCAGAAAAAAAGACAATACATAATGAATACACTGTGCAGGGGAATGATAATTGTTTGAGTACAAGTGTCAAGTAATAGTAAATAATTTATTTAGTAGCTTTTTCCCTGGCTAAATCTTTTCCGTTTACCTGTGGTATCACTCCAAAGGCTTTCCTCCACTGTTGCAAAGTTATTGAATCCCAAGACACACCATCTATTTGGATTTCTCCTTCAGTGTTCAGCAGTCTCAAAAAAGCTGATAACAAAGTACTCTTCCCGGATCCAGTTCTGCCCAGGAGGCCCACCTAGAATATAAGCATGATGAAATTATCCCTGTGACATAAGGATACCATATTATAAATGTATTCTGGCATTAATTTGAAAAAAATCATTGGAACTAGTTTATAAAATATTCTCACCAAGAAAGACTATCACATCTTCAATGAAACCTTTCTATACAATTCCCAATTCTGACCAATATTGACATGGGGCAGAGCAACTCTGGAACAGAATATAGAAACTGACCACAAGGAACTAAATCCCTAGCTCTGGCTTCACTCATTATTCAACTTTACCAGTGGCAAAGAGGTTGAAAATGCCCACTTTTCAGGAAAGAAAACAAATATAAAATACCTGAATGCACATCACTCCTAAGAATGGTATCATTTCAGAAGCAGTGACCTACAGCTTGATCTAGTCCCAAATGTGAATAGAAGCTTGAAAATTAAAAAGTGGTACAGTTCTATTACTTAGATGTTACCGTTAACAAATGAAGCAAGTGCCAAGTCCAAGTATCAAGTTCACACAATCAAGAATAGGTTCAGTGAGCTATATATTCCCAGAGAAGGCAGGTTATCAAACCAAATTTGTACATTTACCCTGATTGGCAGGAAGAGAATTCTGGGAAACAACAGTAGAAACAGCAGCAAATAGGATATTAAGAAAAGAGAAAAGCTATTCTTGTTACTTAAAGATGGTACAATAGCATTGAAGTGAGAATACCATGGTATATTACATGGTATATTACAAGATCGAGTACTCAGGCAACCTACTGAGAGCCCCAACTCTGTGTTCTGACATCAACTCAGATCCAGCATGTAGAAGAAGGTACTTTAAGTAGCATAGACCATTCCTGCAGTCATTGATTTAACACTGAATAAATTACCCAGCATTTAGAGGCACTGAAATGATGTTGAATTCCTCCCCTTACATTATTCCCACTGTTTCTAATCCTTTGATCCTTTTAATAATAGAGCTGAGCAGAGGGTATTTTAGAATAGTGCTTTTCACACTACCTTCATTTTACTGTTGTTTTTTTTTTTAACTCAATCTACTGCGCATGAGTACTTTAAAAAAAAAGTTTCTAAAAGCTTACTCTAAACTTCTATACTTAAATCACCATAGACCAGTAACAGTCTGCAAACCAAAACCAGAGCATGGATTGTGATAAGTGCTTTAGAGCATACAAGAAATTTTAACAACAATAATAAATTACGGAATACTTATCTGGAACCTAATGATAAACTTTGGGTTGCACCTAGTAAACAGTAATGACACAAATGTCTTTCTATTCATCACATGAGCTCTATAATGAGATTTTTACAAATGTTTATTCTCTGAAATAACTGAAAAATAGATAAAAAATCAGGTTGTATATAAGGTTTTTTATACTATTAATCACATTTGGTAATTATATTATTTAATTTCCTTTTTGATTATTGTTTATATTTACTCCAAGAATATACGTTCAACAAAAGCAGGGTAGCCTACTTTGTTGTCCATTGAATTCTCAGCACTTAGAATAGTGATCAGCACATATAAAATTCTCAAAAAATATATTTGCTTTGATTGAGGAATGGTCAAATAAAAGTATGACTGGAGAAATGGATGGATGGATTGGATGTATGAATGATGAAAAGGAAGGAAGGCCACAGGAAAAAAAGGGGAGGGAAGGAAGAAAGAAAGGAGGTGAGAAAGAACTAAATTTTGGTCAATTATCAGATGAACTCATAATTTAAAAATCTTGAGGAATTTCATTTCTGAATCAGTTTATGTTGCAAAAAATACATACATGTTGTGGTTTTCAAACATAACAGTAAAGCTTTATAGACGCAATATGAATATGCACTGTGCAGACAAGGAAAGGAAGAATAGAAGGGAAGTTCAATGAAGAAGTGATTTGCTTTAAAGTCATATCAATAATTTATGATTAAAAAAAGGTGGCTTGAGATCTAAATTTGTATCATTAGCCAAGGTCCAAAGGATTAGGTTAAATGGCCATGCTGCTGGGCCTCCCCTGGTGGCGCAGCAGTTGAGTGCTGGGCTACGAAGTTGCCCGCAGCCCAGCTGCGCCAGTTCGATCCCCGGCTGACGGTGAGGGTCCCACATGGCTCCACAGACCTCTCCTGCCACACCTGCTGTTCCCCTCAGCAGTGTATTTCATCAGTCTGCCTGTTCTGTTCCCCGCTCTGGCTCTGGTGAATTCTCTCACCCTCCCGCACTTCTGACTGTACTCAGTGCTTGTATAAATAAATAAATCTTTTAAAAAAATAAATAAATAAATGACCATGCTCCCTTTCCTTAAGAAGCAAATATTGAACTTTTTAACGGACTTGGATTTTATGATGGAATAAGACTCAGCTGAGAAGCAATTTGTAAATCTTTTGTTTAACTTCAAAGATGTTAAGTATTGCTTTGATTTCCTTATATGATTAAACTTCAGGTAATGCATGATGTCTGACACTTTTCAACAGCAGGGAATCTTACTGGTTTGTACCTAATAAAGTTTTCTTATTGTTTATACAGTTGGCACATAATAATTCTTTTTGGGATTTGTTTTTCCAGACTTCTCAGTGGTCTGTTGAATAAGGCTAGAGTACTTCCACAAATAAGCTTTTAAGATAAATCCTAATTCCAAATCAGTGTTTTCTAGTAACTTCAATGTACTTCCTCTCTGAGAATTCTGGATCAAGATAAATCAAAATATGATGTGGAAAGTTAAACAGTGTTGAGTTTGGTGCTACTTGTAATTGCATTGTACCATGAATAGAACACTCTTAGTACATTCTTGTCAAAGTGCTTATTTATCATTTTAATACTGCAACAGATTGAAACCTGTTGTAATTATTTTCATTTCGCTGTGACCTCCAGAAATCAAGATGCCAATTCAAATGAAATTTTATTTAAATTAAGTGAATTTATCAAAGTGATAAAATGTTTATCTTTTATATTCTGGTGTATCTGTTTATTATTAATAAAAATAGCCCTTGAGAATATGTTCCTTATAAACCAAGTATAGTTTACTGAATGATATAGCTACTTCACACCAATTTCTATCAATAGAGGACATGTGTTTAACAAATCAAACAGGTATTCAAGTGCTTATGTTAATTTGTTCTGAATCCCTGATATTGTTTGAACTGTTTCTGGGATCTCAGAATATTGAAAACAATACAAGTGGAGAAGGCAGGTAAGCTCACCCAAAAGAACAGACCTTGAAGTACTATTAAAAATCCATTTAATCACAGAACTGCCCACTATTGTGATATCTACAATTTGTCACTGAAGCATTTTGATAGTCCATGTTGATCATAAATAACCTGGATCCAAATTAAAATCTCAGTGGATATTTTCAGAAGAAAAATAAAAGGGAAAAAAAGGAATTGATATTTCATTTGGGGGACAGCAATCTGGACATTAAAATTTAAGCAAAAAGAATTTTAGAAAGTTGAAGAAAAACTATTTAGGATTGGAAAAAAAAGGGTTTTTAAAGTAAATGTTGTGAAAATACTACATTTCTTATGCATTGAAAATATAATTTCAAGTACAGGTTCTGTGAAGTAAATAGATGCATTAATAGCTAATAAAGTAATGTAATCTCATTTCCATAAATAATCACTATGGACAAAATATTTTAATATGAAGATTGCATATTTTTTTTAATCTTTTCACCATAATCTGTGCTGAATATTTATATACCCTCAAATTCCTGTGTTGAAATCCTAACCCCCTATTGTGATGGTATTGGTATTGGGAGGTGGAGTCTGTGGGAAACTAAGTCATAAGGCAGAGCACTCTCAGATGGAATCAGTGCCCACTGAAAGGGGACTCAGAGAAGTTCCCTGACCCCTTCACCATGAGGCTGAAGCAAGAAGACAGGCATCTCTGAGGAAGCAGACCTTTACCAGACTACAAATCTGTCACTGCCATGATCTTGGACTTCCCAGTCCCCAGATTTGTGAAAAATAAATTGCTATTGTTTATCAGTCACCTTAGCTAGTAGCCTATGATATTTCATTACAGCAGCCCAAAAGGACTCAGACAGACCACATAAACAAGCACCTTGAAATCCATTTAAAAATAAAAAATGGCCATTTAAGCCCTTTTCCAATGTTTTTTTTTTTTCTTTTTTAAGGTGAATTAGATCACCTTCTGAGCTGAGCTGACAGTGCTTTGGGCCTGGAAATAGTACACCAAACTTGAATTTACTTCATAGCTCATTATGCAAGAAGCATGTTTGGGGCATCATGTTACAATTTGCAAGACATTGTTATGGGTCCTAAGGGCAAGGCAGTAGAAATGTCATTTTAAAAGAATAACATTTTAAGACTCAACTTCCCAGAAGAACACTTTAAGAATCAATTTCTTCTTTAAGGAAGCATATCGCCTAGAATTAGGATAAGCCATTCATCCATTTACATACATAACATTTTATAAACTAGGTACAAAGAGATAAAAAGATGAAAAACAGGCTTCCAGTTTCTAGTCCAAATGACATGTAAGGAACATTATTCTGTCCCAAAAGGTAAAAAGCTAAGAAAACTGAAAAATCAAATTCTTCTTATTTCTGTCAGAAAAAATTAAGTCACAGGGCAAAGTTTCTCCACAGAATGTAAAGACAGACAGGCAAATAAACAGAATCATAACTTACCAGAGCCGAAACCCATGAGCCAGAACCAGGATAGGAAAATGTAAGCTGTTAATAGACAAACTACTGGAGGCTCAGTGTGGTCAAATCTAAGGGCAAAAACTCCAGAAGAGACCAACCCTAGAAAGGCCCCCGCACTAGTGAGCATTGCTTCCAAGAGTCCAACCTCATCCATCATCTCACAGTGGAGGAAAAAAAAAAAAAATCACAGACTTTCCAATGCTTTAAATGATCAAATATTCTTAAACTTATGGTCAAATGCAAGTGAAATAGTTTATACCTTTAACAGTGATGGTGGCCTAACAAAAATTATTGCCTATTGTCTCAACAGTTAAAAAAATTCTATTGAAATTAAACCAGAGATGATTTTTTTTTAAATTCAACTTTCATAAGAATTCCCTATCTTATATTCTATTTCCTTGAAAGGAAAAAGGAAAAAGAAATCAAAATAATAATCCTGTCTACATTTATAGAGCAGAATCACTTATAGAACGTAAAGAGTAGGGAGAATCACTGACTCCTTCTCCAAGAATCAGTTTCAGAACCAGTACATTTTAGTATCTTCACTATGTCCAGCCCAGTGCTGGGATCCATAAGGAACACTTCAAAATGATGCATGGTGTAAAGACATTATTTATAATTTTTAAATGTTGAAATTATTGCTTAGTAGATCATTTTTGCTTAGCATATTATTGGGAAAAAGTTAAATAATCCACAAATAAGTAAATAAATAAAAGCTAAGGAAAAAATGTATCACTTGTTTGACAAAGTATGCATCAAACATAATGTGAGATATTAGATGGTGTCAGCAACAAAATAATTCTCTTACCTCGAATGCAAGTTAGTTTCAAGATGCAAAATCTAAAACATACTATAATTTTGGTTTATTTAATGACTTCTTTAGTGGTCACCTAATAATTAATTAGATATTCTGGAAAGAGAATCACATTTAAAATTGACCTATTTTATAATCCAGTCAAAAAATGGGCAGAAGAGCTAAAAAGAAACTTCTCTGAAGAGGAAATGCAAATGGCCAACAGACATATGAAAAAATGTTCAACATCACTTGTAATCAGGGAAATGCAAATCAAAACTACCATGAGATACCATCTCACACCAGTGAGAATGGCACATATTAAAAAAACTAGCAACAACAAATGTTGGCGAGGATGTGGAGAAAAAGGAACTCTTGTGCACTGTTGGTGGGAGTGCAAACTGGTCCAACCACTATGGAGAGCTGTGTGGAGATTTCTGGACCTACTAAACATAGAGCTTCCATATGATCCAGCAATTCCACTCCTAGGTATTTACCCAAAGGACACAGAAACATCAATTCCAAAGAGCACCTGCACTCCTATGTTTATAGCAGCACTGTTTACAATAGCTAAGCTTTGGAAACAACCCAAATGCCCAAAAATAGATGACTGGATCAAGAAGATGTGGTACATATATACCATGGAATATTACTCAGCATTCAAAAAAGATAAACACATGCAATTTGCAGCAACATGGATGGCACTGGAAGGGATCATGCTCAGTGAAATAAGCCAAAAAGAAAAAGAAAAATACCAGATGGTCTCACTCATAGCAGGAATCTAGAAAACTTAAATAAGGGACCAGGAAAATGAATATAAGAAAGTGAAAATCAAAATCAACAAAAACTATGAACCAGAGACACTTTTTGGGGGTGGGCGGGAGGGGAAGGATTGGGGTCAGAATGGGGCGTTTGCAATTGTATGGGGGAATATAAAAATAAAATTTAATATTTGAAAAAAAAAAAAAAAATTGACCTATTTTAAAGGTTCAGGACTGCAATTTAAATTTCATGTGAAAAATTAGTGACTCCAAATGGTAATACTTAAAATATGTGCATGCAATTATTGGTCCTAGTCTATATAATAGTGTTCCAAATGGATTCCAGCACACTGACTTGGGCCACTGGGTTTCCCCTACTGAACACAGTCCTCACAAAGCAAGCAGTGTTTCAATCTCACCCTCTGGCCAGGACTTATCGAGAAGGAAATGTTCTCTAGTATGGCATTCCCACCATCTATGTATTTTGCTGTGAGGTCTTTGACAGTCATTTGACCCCCTGAGGGCCAGATATCATCTTTCTTCACATTTTCATTCTCAATAATCACAACTTTTGAGAGTGGGCCATCCTTGGATGGTTTGATCGACTTGGTAGATCTACCTTCTTCTGGTTGCATATCAATAAACTTGAAGACTCGACTAACAGATCTCATCTGAAATAAAAATAACAATATTTTATTTTTATTTATTTAAAAGCTGCAGGCAATGTCAAAATTAGTTTGATATTTTCTAAAGAATAAATTGTAAGATGTGATGCTAGCTATATAACCAAGATGTGACTTGGTTATTTGTTAGGTTTCCCAATGAACTAACAGGAAATAATTGGATATAATTAAAAGCTTAACCAAAGAGAATTAGCTAGGACTTATATAAATGGGCTCTGTACAGACATGTTTATTTTTGTGATCACTTAAGTCTCAGTTATGCAAGCCACACATAAATAATCAAACCATACACAAGGGAATGGATGACGTCATGGAGAAATTTTTTTCTACTTATGAGTAGCACTGCACAATGTTGTACATCTGGCATATTATAATAAAATGTTCCACACCTCAGAATCACTACTGAAATTTCTTGCCTTTCTCTCAAACTGTCTTAGTCAGTCCATACAATACTCTGTCAGCTGAATGATAAGTACACCCTTGGTGGTTAGCAAATTGAGTAACTTCATAATAATCTTCAAACAAATTTAAGTCATTGGCATATATTTTTAGTTAAGAAATTACCTTTTTAGCCTAACTGACTTTAAGATCAATTCCCATTGCAGAACAAAAGTGACTGCATTAAGGATTGTATTCAAGTTAAATATACATCTGCTTTATAAATCTATTCAAGTAATATTTAATAAAGTATCTTTAATGTACACAGAAATTAAAGAGCTCAAGTATTTTTAAAGCACTTAAATTATTTAACAAAAACATGTTTTTCCAAATAATTTTGATATGTTGGAATTTGGAATATGATTTTTAAAATAGCCCGGCATATCACAGCCTCCAATAAATATTTAAGAAATCAACAGATGAATAAAGGAATGAGTATGTGAATGGCTACATATAAACAGAAAAATAAATGAGTAACAGAAAGGGTTGAAAACTCTGAATTCACTCAATTTCTATTTTTAAGAGATAACCTGATTTTATGGCTCCTCTCTTCCCAGCTATTAACTATTTACTGAGCAGAAAGTGATAGCTGTGTTGTTTTTTTTTTTTTTTTTTTCTATTAGTGACTGTTGATTCTGGCTTTACTCAGTCAAGAATGTAATCTCCTTTACAATGTTAATATATTATTTAGTTTATTTCTAGCTAAGGCTTAGACTACTAGGAATGATTATTTCCAAAAAAAAAAAAAAAAAGTGAGAAAAAAAGCATTTGTGGCATTTGCTCCTATTATTATTTTTTAATCAAAAGGTGAACTGGGAAATACTCTTCATCTTTAGCATGGACTGACTGGTAGAGGAATCAGAGAAGTATAGACATTTATTCTATATTGAATATCAAAATTTCTATCTAAAGATACATTCATATGTACCGCTTGTTTTCATAGGCCACAGATCAGGCCTGCTATTTGTGAAGTTCTTTGTTCTACCTAGTAGTTCTGTGTTGATCTTGAAAATATCTTTGAATTATCTCAAAAAATTATTCAAGAAGAAAATCCTTTTAAGGCAAACTCACTGTTAATGGGAGTAAAATGTCCAAAGCCCACATTCATCATAAATAACTCTAGGGAAACTGAAGGCACATAATCACTATTGCTCCCACATGTAATATTTTAAATTCCAAATTATGGATGACTTTCAAGGGTTATTAAATCTGATTCAGTTATTTTTTATTAACTTTGAATTAAAGTATAGTCTTGCATTTCACTGTCATTAATTTTCACAGAGAACTGCTAGTCTACCTAAGGTCTGCAAGATAAATTAGAATTGTAACTACCACTGAGATGAAACTGCCAGAGAAATAGCTCAATTGCATTTAAAATACCTCATGGTATTTATCCTGCATTAGAATAACATCATTCTCTTGAAGTGACTGAGAGAAATACAGAAATGTAGCTTGACTTTATAAAATAAGGTTGAAACTTGATATTTCTGCATGTAAATTCTGTGAAGAATTAGAAACTAGTTTTTGAGAAGAGCTTCACGGTATCAGGAAAGACACACAACAACAAAACCTTTACATATTTTCATACTTACAACAATCATTTAAATATTGCTATCTAAATTATTCAAAATTATATGTAGTATTATTAGAAGATACAGACATTCAAAATCACTAATCACTATTTTGGCAGCATCGAAAGGCAGAATATAATCTTTGTGTGAGGATTTATGCTTGAGCATGGCAACACATATGCTCTATTCATAACGGTCATAACTGAGGTGAGTCCAGAACGTCTAATATCAAATGAAACATGCCTAAAAAATTTAGAAATTGAAAATTTCAACTTGCCATCTTTCATATAGTTTTTTAAAGTGACCTCAAGATAAACTATTATAGTTACCCACAGCATGATCAAATATCCCTGACCAAGAACAAACTCATCTTCACAGTGGGCACTCATCCATAGCATATGAGCAGACATTCATTCAATTCAATGGGCTAGAACACTTTCTGACAAGGAGAAAAGGTGGCTAGTACAGATAACTGCATTATGGTAAATGTTGCAGCCCCTGAAGGACCATGCCTGAATAGAAGATGTGGCCAAATAACATCATAATTTACTAACACCTGTACTTCCATTTACTTTTTACCACCACTGCTTCTCAAAAGAGAAGCTACATCAAAGCCAGAGCACAGAAAATCAATTTTGGCCCTACAAGTTTGAAAAATTGGCTTTTAGAGTCACAAATTTATAGTTTAAAACATTTGAGACATGGGGCCTCCCTGGTGGCACAGTGGTTGAGCACTGGGTTGCGAAGCTGCCTGCAGCCTCTGCAGCGCCGGTTCGATCCCCGGCCACCAGGTGAGGGTCCCACATGGTGCGCAGACCTCTCCTGCTGCCCACTGCTCCCCTCAGCAGTGTATTTCATCAGTCTGCCTGCTCTGCTCCCTGCTCTGTCTCTGGTGAATTCTCTCACCCTCCTGCGCTTCTGACTTTACCCAGTGCTTGTATAAATAAATAAATCTTTAAAAAAAAATAAAATAAAACATCTGAGACACATGAATAATGATTCTTCAGCTTCAAAAGTTAAAACTGAAGGACTCAAAGCACAATGCTTATGTAAAACAACAGCCATAGAGGAATTATGATGGACGTGAAACAGCTCCTCTCCTATCTCACGATGCAACTCATGAATGAGGGTTACAAGAGTGCTTAGACATTAGTTTCTTTAAAAAGAGTCCTGACTTGCAATTGATCTCTAGTTCTATCCTCAAGTAGATTTGCACAGTAGAGCCAGATTTGCACAGTAGAGCCAGCCTTAGGGAAGCGTCTAACACCTGGCGTGGCAAGGAAGCACCAGTAATGACATGGTAACTTGACATGTCCAGACACCGATACCTTGACAGAGTTTCAGAGTTCCCTGTATTTCCTTGAAAGGAAGTCAAGTAATCCCAATTCTCTGATCCTTCAGGGACTTTATGCCTTGACAGAGAGCTCATGGTCAGGGCAAGAAGAACAAAAACTCAGTCTACCTGGAGTATATACCTTTAAAACTCAGACAGAAACACCAATACCTCAGAGGTAGTGAGCATGATAAGGGACAACCCAGGGCCAAATATTCCCTCCCCGCAGTGCCTTAGAATTCTTCAATCTCCACTCAGAACTTATTTCACTTCCAGCAAGATCTCAAAATTTCCTGAGATTGTTTCTTCCAGGCAGTAGAATACAAGTACAAATAGAAAGTAAGTTCAAAAAATCACAAAAGTCAAGTAATACTTCTTGCACATTTGACTTCATAAACAAGGAGTCATAGATACAATGAGGGGTGGAGCCAGCATTTATAGAACCTGAAGCAAATAAGTCAAGGAACTCTTCTCAAGAAAAAGGAGCAAATTTGTGGAAATAAAATTAAGGCCAGCATCTTGAAAGGTGTCCATGCAGGTGGGAGGACCCGAAGCTTTCATAGCATGTGTTTCATGTTAAACCTACTTTGCTTATTGCAGTTATATATTTAAACCATTTCTTGTAATCACCCTTACATCTTTTATCTAGCACTCAGCAACATGAAGTCCCTCCCTTAATAAATCTTTGTTCATAATGAATGAATCCACTGTTCTTTCTACCTCATACGCAGAAAGCAGCATCTGGGCAATGAGAATGATGGTGCCGTGAGTAATCCGGGCTGCAATTTTACCTCTCCACTTTTCAGCCTGAAAATACGCATTGCTATTTGAATTAGAAGGAAGTTGCAACAGAGGAAACTATTTTCAATCTCATCTATTTGTTTTCATGGAACATTTTAATCTAACTCAATCCTTTCTCTGATTTAGAATGTCTGCTAACCATTTTTGGGTGATATGTAAAAACCGCCATTGTCCACCTGTCTAGATTAAGCAAGATAGAAATTCAAACTTGGAAATCATCATAGTGATGGTAGACTGGCAAGCTCAACCTTAAGCTGTTGCTTCTGCGGATAGAAAAGGGCTACCAGAGTAGCAGTGAGGGGGTAGCTCTGCTGGACTTCAGAGAGGAAAGTCTTTGTTGTGACATCACCAGCTTTTGTTTTAGATTTTCAGAAGTAAATGCTGAAGCCAATATGAGACTTGGGCATGGAAGTACTGAACCTATTCTTTATGAGAAGATGAAAACATGATATAATTTGTACACACTTATGTCAAACTGGAGTTTAGCCAACATGAGGTAAGATTTTTGCCTGATAATCATCTGCTTTAAATTTTTGGTTTCATCACTTAAAAATTTATTATGATCTAAAATTTCTACTGAGACGATCTTTAAAATTGAATCTCATTATCTCTGTAATAATGTCTAAAGTTACTAATATAAGCCTCAGAAGAACAAATTCTTTTAGATGTTAACAAAAAGCTCCACAGCTATATTCAACCTAATAAGGGACCTGTCTTACGTGAAAAAGAAAATGATTCTTGATTTTCCTTTTCACTTTTTGTTGGCAAAGAGGGAAGAGAAAATTTAAAAGACCTTTTTTAGAGTAAGTCAGGAAGCCAGATTCCTCTCACTCACAAAACTATTT